CTGACTCAATGAAGAAATCAACATAAGGATTATAGAGGGAGAAGAGAGAGAAAGGAGCAGAGAGCTTGTTCACAAGATAATAGCTGAGAACTTCCCAAACCTGTAGAAGGAACTGGACTTACAAATACACGAAGCCAATAGCACTCCTAATGACATTAATGCTGAAAGACCTTCTCCAAGTCATTTAATAGTAAAACTGGCAAAAGTTGTGACAAAGAAAAAATATTAAGGGCAGCAAGACAGAAGAAAATAAACTGCGAAGGAACCCCTATCAGGATTTCAGCAGATTTCTCAGCAGAAATCTAACAGGATAGGAGAGAATGGAATGATATATTCAAAATACTGAAAGACGAAATCTTTCAGCCAAGAATACTCTATCCGGTGAAACTATCCTTCAAATACAATGGAGAAATAAAAGTTTTCCAAGATAAACCAAAGGTGAGGGAGTTCATCATCACTAGACATGCCAACAAGAATTTATCAAGGTTGACCTCATGCCTGACACAAAAGGGCAAAGGTTTACAAAGCTTTGAGCAAGGAGATAAATAGACAGAAAAAAATTAGAAAACTACAGCTCTCTTTCAGAACAGGGTAGCAAATACTTAATTATGCCTTAAAAGGTAGAGGGAAAAAAAGCATTAGAAGTAACTATAAATCTTCAACTTAGTCACAAACTCACAACACAAAACAGAATAATTTGTGACAACAGTAACTCAGAAGGGGACGAGGAGGAGATGGAACCTACTTAGGCTAATGGAGATAAGAAGCTATCAGAAAATGGACTATCTCCTCTATGGCAGTTTTTATACAACAAAGGAGCCAAGAGCATACAATAGAGACAGGAAAGTCTCTTCAATAAATGGTGTTGGGAAAACTGGACGGCCATGTGCAAAAGAGTGAAAGTAGGCCATTGTCTTGCACTGTACACAAAAATTAATTCAAAATGATTAAACATTTGAATGTAAGACCTGAAACCATAAAACTCCTAGAAGGAAATATAGGCAGTGCACTCTTTGACTTCGGACTTAGCAGCATCTTTTTGAATACAATGTCTACTTAGGCAAGGGAAAAAAAAGAAAAAGTTAACAAATGGAACTACATCAAACTGAAAAGCTTCTGCAAGACAAAGGAAACCATGAACAAAACAGAAAGACAACCCACCAACTGGGAGAAAATATTTACAAATCATGTATCTGACAAGGTGTTAATTTCCAAAATATATAAAGATCTCCTTCAATTCAACAACAAAAAAACAAACAATCTGATCAAAAAATGGCTATAATTACCAAGACAAAAAATAACAAATGTTGGAGAGGTTGTGGAGAAAAGGGAACCCTCATACACTGCTAGTGGGAATGTAAACTGGTGCAGTCACTGTGGAAAACAGTGTGGAGATTTCTCAAAAGATTAAAAATAGGAATACCATGTCATACAGCTATGCCACTACTGGGTATTTATCCAAAGAACTTGACAGCAATAATACAAAGAGATTAATGCACCTCTATGTTAGTTGCAGCATTATTCACAATAGCCAACATGGAAGCAACCCATGTGCCCTTCTACAGATGAATGGATAAAGAAGATGTGGCATATATATACAATGGAATACTATTCAGCCACAAAAAAGACAAAATCATCTCATTTACAACATGGATGGATCTTCAGGGTATAATATTAGTGAACCAAGCCACACAGAGAAAGACAAATACTGCATGATTTTACTCATATATGGAAGATAAACACGTGGATAAAGAGAAGAGATTAGTGGTACCAGAGGGATTGGTTACTGGGTAGTGGGTGAAAGGGGTAAAGGGGCACATATGTATGTTGATGGATAAAAATTAGACTAGTGGTGCAGAGCACAATGCAGTCTATACAGAAATTGATAAATAAGAATGCACACCTGAAATTACACAATGTTATAAACTATTGTGATCTCAATGAAATAGTTGGAAAAAAAACTCCAAGATAGGCCCAAGTCCAGATAGCTTTGTTGATGAATCTACCAAATATTTAAAGAAGAATTAACACCATTTTTTCTCCAACTCTGAAAAAGTAGATGAGGAAACTTCTTGACTTATTCTATGGGGCCATTTGACCACGATATCAAAAGAAGACAAAGAAATCAGAAAGAAAAAAAACCATTACAGATCAATATCCCTTGTGAATATAGATGCAAATGCTCTCAACAAAATACTAGCAAACTGAAAGCAGCCACATATAAAAAGAATTACATAACATAACCGGGTGTGATATATCCCAGGAATGCAAGGTTGGTTGAACATGCAAAAGTAAATCAATGTACTACAACATATTTATGGAATATGGAAGAAACACTTAATCATCTCAATAGACACTGAAAGATAAAATCCAACAACTTTCATGAGAAAAACACTTGAAAAACTGGCAATGGAAAAGCACATCTTCAACCTGATAAAATGGATCTTAGAAAAGTTCACAGCTAACATCATATTTAGAAGTTAAAGATTAGAAGCTTTAACCCTAACATCAGGAACAAGACAAGGACATTTGCTTTTGCCAGTTCTATTCAACATTATACTGCAAGTTTTAGCCAGGGAAATTAAGCAAGAAAAACAGATAAAAGGAATCCAACGTATAAAGCAAGTAGTAAAACTCTTTTCACAGATGACATGATCTTACATATAGAAAACCTTTTATGGTAAACCACATAAAAACTATTAGAGCTAATACCTTTAGCAAAGTTGTAGGGTACAAATTGAACACAAAAAAATCGTGTTTCTGTATACTAGCAATGAACAATCTGAAAAGGAAATTAAGAAAACAATTCTATTTACATTAGTATCCAAATGGTAAAAAATACCTGTGACTTGACTTAACCAAGGAAATGAAAGATTTGTACACTGAAAACTACAAAATATTGCTGAAAGAAATTAAGGAAACTCTAAGTAAATGGAGCTTATATTAATACAATCATGTAAAAATAATTATAATGGATATGTATACCATGTTCAGGGATTGGAAGACTTAATACATTTATGGTGGCAATGCTGTCCAAAACAATAGATTCAATGCAATATCTATCAAAATTCCAATGAATGTTTTTTGCAGAAGTGGGCAAAATGATCATAAAATCATATGGAAATGTGAGGGACCCTGAATAGCCAAACAATCTTGAAAAAGAATAAGAAAGTGAGAGAACTCCAGCTTCTGGATTTCAACTTACCCTGAAGCTACAGTCATCCAAACAATGTGAAAATTGCATGAGGACAGACATATAGACCAATGCAACAGAATTGAGAGTCCAGAAATAAACACATCTATCTATGGTCAATTGATTTTAACAATAGTGCTAAGATAATTTAATGGGGAAGGAAAAGTCTTTTCAACAAATAATACTGGCTAACCACATGCAAATGAATGAATGATGCCACCTACCTCACACCATACACAAAAATTACCCTCAAAATGCACCAGAGACCTAAGTGTAAGAAAACATAACATTCTTAGAAGAAAGCATAAGTTTAAATCTTTATGACCTTGGATTAAGCAAAAGTGTTTTAGATATAACACCAATTTGTAATTCCTGTTAAAGAGGACGTCCATTGCCCCACGTCATCCTCAACACCAGGACAATATCAATCTTTTAACGTTTTGCTAACGTTTTGCTGATGGTATTGTTTTAAAAAGGCATCTCATCGCTTTGTTTGTATTTCCTTGACTGCTAGCAAAGTTAAATACATTTTCATATATTGATTTGTCACTTGCTTGCTTATATTGTGTGTGTGTATATATATATATATGAGGATATGGTTGTGGTTTGTGGGTATGTGTGGGTGTATCTGTCTTGTATTTTATTTAGTTATTCTCCTGTACCAAATTCTCAGAAGAAAATATCTTCACAATCTAAAACCTTTCAGTTTATGCATGCAAGCACAATGCATTTCTGTAAACGTGTTTTTTGTAATATTGACTGAGCAGCAGATGAACTGAATTTATTTTTCTAGCTTTTATCCCTACTACTACCTTCGTATTCCTAGATGCATTCTCTCATGATTAAATAGAATTATTGCTATTTTTAATTATTAACTATTGTGGATGAGAAAAACAGCTACTTTAAGGGAAAAGCAAAAAATAAAATACAAAAAATTTAAAAATATGAATGAACGTTTCTTTAACATTTTAATTCTCTTTTCATTTAATGTATCCCCTATGTACATAATTAAACTTCTGTTGGATCTCTGATAAAGCAAGTAATTGTAGACATTTTGACTACTGATATTACAACTTACCTCCTGAATTGTTGTTTTCTCTTCACTTAACCATTGTGAGTTCCCTAACAACTGGTAGAAACGCTTTACAATGAAAGGAACTAGACTATTTTTTAAATCAACGAAGGTGTAAAATATTCCTTAGAAGGAATGATTTACATTTTACAATGTTTTGGTTTTAGTTGCTTGTTTTATTTTCTATAGATTCTAAGCTTCACTGTGAAAGAAATTATGTACTGACGATGCCAGGCAATCCAGAATTAATTCCCTACTTAGGCAGCCATACTTAGAATGAAGAACTTCTTAATCATAATTCCATTGTGATCATTGGTGTGGATGTTTGATCCATTGCTTAGTGTGATTCAAATAAATGATGAACAAATTAATGTGAGGCTTTGTGTAGGATTTTTTAAAAAATTAATATTAATGGGCAACAGGTTAATTTAAAGTAGTTACTTTCCTCAGGAAATTCTACTTCAGTCTCCACCAGTCTTTTTAACCTCACCAGTACTTAAGAAGAGAAAAAAAGGATTCATACAAACAAAAATGAAAACTGAAAGCATTTGAGTCAGTACTTCACAAATTATAATAACCACTTATGACAATTAACTTTGCACTGTTCTGCCAGTATTTTTTTTTTTTTTTAGTGGATAGGAGTGGCACTGAAAGTAGCTTTAAGAAAAAGAATATTTCCAATGCTATCCTGCTAGTGTCTGTTGATGGTTTTGGTCCCTATCTTTTCTTCTGCAGGAGTAACAACCGTTCTAACAATGACAACTCTAAGCATCAGTGCTCGGAATTCTCTCCCCAAAGTGGCTTATGCAACTGCCATGGACTGGTTTATTGCTGTTTGTTATGCATTTGTGTTCTCTGCCCTAATTGAATTTGCAACCGTTAATTACTTCACCAAAAGAGGATGGGCTTGGGATGGGAAGAGTGTAGTAAATGACAAGGTAAGTGAGAACTTCCTTCTCACCATGATTAAGAGAATCTCCTAAGAGATTAGCTTGTAACAGATAAGTTCCCAAAAATTGACATTAAGAACGTTCAAACATAAATTATATGCATAGGGATCATAGAGTTTTCTTTTAAAGTATGCTCTTGCCTGAAATCCTTTAGGAGTGCTTCTGGTAGTATTACTTCTGTTACTTCCTAGTATCTGTTAGCTCTGACTGTGTGTCAGGCACTGTGCTAAGATTTTTACATATGCTCTCTCATGTAATCTTTACGACTTGATAACTAGGGTCTCTTTTTAATTCTCACCTTTTTCTTATGAAGAAGCTGAGGCTTAGTGAAGTTACTTATTTGCCCAAGCTCACACAACTAGTCAGTAAGTATACTTGAACCCAGATCTGTCTCATCATTAAGTTCATACTCTTAAACACCACACTGCTTTGTAAGAGAGATTTGGAAAAAAAGTGGGCATTAACTTTACCTTACATAATTATAGGAATTATAATTGTATAATTATATCTGTTAGAGAATTTCAGGCGCTATTAGTGGCTTGAGTTACTCCTCACCTACCGCCATCTCTGTTGCCTGGATATAAAAGCCCGGGCAGCATTGTTCTCTCTCCCATGTTGTATGGAATAAGTAGGTAGGTGCTAGAATGCCTAGAAATTTCTGGTTGCTCATGTAGTCTATAGGAGAAAAGTTATTTGTTTTTAAGATTAACTTCTTTGGGATTTATTGGTGTCCATTTTTAGGATTCAAGTACTAAAGCTAGTGGGAGTTCTATGCACTGATATAATAACTGTTCCCTTTCTTATTCTTTAGATTATTATTCATCTGCCTTAAGAGGATGTTTTGAATACTGTAGATCACGAGATATGAAGTATTCTTGATAATAGTAAAAAGTTCTACTTAGACGGGCTCTTCTTAACAAAATATCTACCTAAATACTTCTTCTGTTAAATTTGGAATAACATACTTGCTCATTTTATTTCTTTTCAGTTATTTCAGTATCAATGTTTCTTTCTCATTTTTTGACCATATTGCAGTTTAAGCATGCAAGCAGTTGATGTTATAGTTTAAAAGTTTGCTCTTTTTCCCTAATTTTGTAAACATAGAACTTTTAATAAGAGTGCTGGTTTATTTCATTTTATAAGCTATGTTTTGCATACTAACAGCCAATGAGTAAATAGGAAAGGGAATCTGATTAATTTTCTATGCTTAACTTAGGCTATTTCAGCATTTCCATTACATTTTATTGTTGATTTATGTTTTCATTCCCCAAATAGTGTACTGCTTTTTCATTACTATGTATGCAATTACTTCTTTTTAGTTATATTAGTTACACATGCACTTTCATACTAACATTTTTTTGAAGATAAAATGCTAGATAGTTTTTTTGTAAATATGTCACAAAAGACAAATAGTGGTTTGTGGTATAAATGCCCCATATAGAGATTTATTGATATTTTGTTTTTTAGTGCTATGAGGGTGCCAGTCAAATTGATGTTTTGATTTGGCATATCAAATAATATGCCTTCTCAATCCCTGAACTTGGAAAATAAAAGTACCTATGGGCGCAAAAACCACATTCTTGCTAATGCATTCTAAAAGCAATAAGCTACTATTGATGAATACTAGATTTAAGGCTACCCACCTATCAACTCACATGTAGTGAAGATGAATCTAGGTTGAAATCATTGACATTCCAGCCGAAATTGCAGGAAAACAACTAACAAAGTTTATATGATTTCAGTTCTAAGTGGTTCAAGTTCAGTGGTTAAGTTGAAGGGAACATTACACCAGGCATGTTGCTTGTTCTTATGCACTTTTCCAGAGCTAGAGTCCCAAGCACAGTGCCAGGGGCTTAGTAGGCACTTCAGAAATTTCTGTTGAATAAATGAATTTCTGATATTAAATCTGGCAATGTAATACCAGTAAGAAGATTTCTTTGCTGTCATGAAAGGCTTTTAAAACTTAACAGTGATGAATTTATCACTGGATACTCAACCCAATTTCATGATTCAAATGAATTTTGGGAGGTTTTTTCTAAACCTACATTGGAAATATCCAGGTTCTTAGAACTGAAAGGAAATCAGGTAGAGTGCCCAAAACAAGTGCATCTGCCTGACAAATATTTCAGTGCTATCTACCTCTGCTTTAGTTTTCCTGAGATTCAGTTTTTAAGTGGAGAATGTAATTTTCTTGAAATACAGAGTTTTTGTCTACAGGCCACATTGGTGTCCTTTCAGTTTAACCAAACTGGCAGAAGTCTTCTGCTTTTGAAGTTAGTAAACCTGAGTAAATGCAGTTAAATTATCTGTCAATCTAAAGAACATATGAAAAGTTCTAAAAATTTGTAAACTGACCATTATTAATTTGCCTCATGAGAATACCCACTTAGAGGTACATATCAATACTATATGTTTGCAAAAAACAAATATGTATGTATTTAACATATAGTTTACATGTAGATTGTGCTCTGATGATCTTTAAAGTTAGTTTTTGCAAATAAATAAATAAATCCACTCAATTTATATTCAAGCTACATTTGAGTCCTCTACTAGAAGACAAAGCCTACTGTGATCTTGGACAACATTTTATACTACTTTTAGCCTCAGGTGTGAAATTAGACAACATAACCTTATCATTCTGAAAACGTAGTGCTGCATCAAATTTTTATGCCCTTGCATATACAAAACTGTCTATTTATGCAAACCCCCAATTTCTCGGGAAACCTCCCTCATACTCAGTGTTTTTCCACTTGCCAAAGACTAATTCTTTCATTCCACCTCTTGATCTCCTTTCTTCTTGTTCCTTTTTCAACCTTGAACCATCAGTTATTATTTTCTGATTTCTTCAAAGCCATCTTCTCCTTTTCAACTGTCTCCTTCCTTTCAGATTATGAAGATGCTTAATTTACCATGAAGGCAAAAACAAAACTCTCTCCAGATCCTATGTCATCCATTCCCCCACCCTCAGATTCTACCCTCTTTTTCTCCAGTCAAGCTTTTTGAAAGCATTGCTTACAATGTTTGTATTCTCACTTTCAATTTAATTCTCAACCCACTGTAATCTGATTTCCTTTCCATTTAATTGTCCTGTAACTGAAGGGCACCAATAATGTCCATATTTTCAAATCAGATAATAATTTTCCATTTTTCTCAAGGGATCCCTGTTGAACCAAGTGCATATTGTTATACTCCAGAACCCATTTCAGGCCCACGTCAGCAACTCTTTTTCTCTCTTTAAAACAGGCCTTAGCATATCGACTTCCTTCCCTCAAATCCTGGCAGCTGCCACTATTCATTCTATTTTTTGAGATTCACTGCCTGAGTTCACAGTGGATGCAGTCTCCCTAGCATCTGCTCTTGTTTATCTCCAAAGACAGTCATTTGGCTTTATTTTATGTTGTTTTTGTTTTTACTATTCACTATGTGTTCTCACTTTAAGGGTTTTGTGAACAATATTTGTAAGAATGTCTGCAGCAGTAAGCACACTGTCCACTCGTTTACTGTCCCCAAATAGATAATCCCTCCTCATCCTCAGCATGAATATCAATCCTCCAGAAATTCCTTGCTCCTCCTTCAAGTGATTAGATCCCTTCGTAAGTTTGTATAGTTCCCTGCTCTTTTGCATTAGACCCTGTATCACAGTTTGTAATTGCATATTCATGTCTCAGCTCCTTCACTGATCATCCTAACACTGACCATGGTTATCTTAATAAATCGTTTACCCCTGGCCCTTTGCACAGGGCCTTGTGTATATTAGTTATTCAATAAATATGGTGCAAATTAATGAAGTAGAAGCAAATCAAGTCTACAACCCACACCTTTATCTTTCCTTCTGCAGTTATTATCTATACCTGTATCCCCATACCTTTCTTTTAACTTCCAGGATCATATATCCAACCTGTTCTTAGGCGTTTATGCATGAATATAACATCTCAATCTTTACAGATCTTTAGAAAAAGATGAAAAAAGAAACAGAAACAAAACATTCTAAATAGACTTTATATCTTTCCCTTGCCCATGCCTATTTTTTCATCTATACCTCAGTCCATGGCAAAACCTAACCTCACATATCAACAACGTGGAAGTACCCTTTAACATCTAACCAGTCATCAAACGGTGTCCATTCTCCCACTTATATTTCATACACTATGCCCTCCTTACTTCTCATTGTTTTTAATCTCTTTATTCCTCCTTATCTCTGATCACGTCTCCCTCTAATCCATCCTCTACATTAGTGCCAGTTATCTTTCTAAAACAGAAATGTGACCATTTAACTTTTCAGCTCTTCAGTGAATTGTTGAAGGCAGTTCTTCAAGCAACTTGGCTAGTATGGTCCAAGTATATAGCTTTCTCATATATATGTTTACATGACGAATAATAAGGATATTTTTTGTTATTTATTTTACACTTCCTACTTTGTGCCTGGGAATATATCCATGTTGGAAATGAGGAAATCTAGGATTAGTCAAATAAAGTTACCTGCTCAGGATCACACATCTAATTAGTGATGTATCCAAGATTGGACAAAGATCCATGCTTTTATTCTTCCTCCAGCCATTACAGACCTCTCCAAATATGCATGCCTCTACACATCTCTATGACATTAGATGTGCTGATCCCTCTTGCTAAAATGCCTTCTTCTTCCTTCCCTAACTGATGGACTCCTACTTACTTCTGAAGATCCATCTGATTTTATTTAATCTCGAAACTTTCCATATGAATCTAATTGCCAACCCCCATTATGCTTGTGCAGTACCTGGCACAAATTCCTTTCATGTAACCTCGTTAAATTTTACTTTTATTGTAAATAATTCTGTTTCAAACAGTAGATTACATATTCTAAGAGGATAATGGTTTTGTTGTATTAGCCATTTTCTCTGCCATTACCTAACATAGCATTTAGCATATAGTTTATTTGAATTAAATTTAAAAAATAAATAAACTCAATCTCTTGAGATTGTTTCCATTTCTAAATCTGAGTCAGTGGTTCTACCTCGGCCAAGAAAACCTATACTTTGGAAGGCAACTAGATATTAAATTACTTAAAACAGAGACATAGTAATAGAATATCCAAAATAACATGAACTGTGCCATTTTTTTGTGATTCACTCCATGTAATTCATAGAAAACATCACATTTCAAGTGTTTTTATTCATTTATTTGCATTATGTTAACATCCTGCCTTGTTCCAAAAGCATTTCAGGCAGTTTACCAAAAGAATGCATGTACTTAAGTTATTATAAAATAAAATATAAACAGAAGTCGGAAATATGAATAAAGGAAAATACATTGCAAGTATGCCCACCATTGGAGCCAGAACATTAACTGTAGTCCGTAGCTAGAGAAGTTGAACTTCAAATTCTGAGCTTCTTGGCTAAGCTCAGAATAAACCTTAGGGTGGGGGTGGGGGGGAGCTATTTTTCTTTAATCAAAAAATGGAAGCATAAATTTCCTCAGAGAAAATATTTTCCTACACTGAATTGTCTTCTTTAAGACAATATCGTATGGATTTTATATTAGAGAAAGCTGGATACTGTTACAAGTAATGTCAAAATTTTCCCAATAAACGCAGTAATGAATTTCATATTGATGTTTCTTGTAGTCCCCTTCAATAAAAGCTGAAGGCATTACATTAACATACAACTCAGTGAAGGCACTTCTTCAAGGAGCTAAGCTAATATGGTTCAAGTGTATAGCTTTCTCATGGCCCAATTTAATCCAAGAAAAGACTTTAGAGTACTTAGAGAAGTGGATGGACTGTATAAGCTTCAAACAATCATCTGTAAGTATCCCTTTCTTCAGTTAGGATGGTTAGCCCACAGTTAATAGCGTTATCTGACCAGGGAGCATGTTGTTGTTTTACAGGTAATAAGCTTTCTGGAAGCCACAGTGACTGTAAAAAAGCAACATGGTATACAGAAAGAGCATAGATTTGCCACTTTGGAGACTGGAGGTTTTCTCCAAAGTCTGTTATATTTAGTGTTATATTTATGAGAGCTCCATTTCTTTATTCTGATGGACAATCTCTGAGATCCTTTCCACCTCCAAAACCATATGATCGTTATTTTTATTTATATGCCAGGTCACTTTGACTGATAGGTATCTATATTTTATCTAGAGCATTTCCTCACGTTATTAACACACTATTTTATCAAATACCCTTAGGAAGCCAAGATTGGTTTGCCACTGCAGAGTAAGACATTTTGATTTCTGTGATCAAATGTTACAGACTTGAAATTTTTAAGTATATATTCAGATACTCTAATAAAGTAATAACCTCAGAATATTCTGAATCTTATAAAACATCACTTAAAAATAGAAGTTTTGGGGCCAGCCCTGGTGGCCTAGTGGTTAAGTTTGGTGTGCTCTCCTTCAGTGGCCTGGGTTTGATTCCTGGGTGTGGGCCTACACCACTTGTCTGTCAGTGGCTATGCTGTCGCAGCAACTCACATACAAAAAGAGGAAGATTGGCAATAGATGCTAACTCAGGGCGAATCTTCCTCAGCAAAAAAAAAAAAAAAATAGAATGCTTAATTAATGTGGGTTATATTTCCTTTTCATTCTACTTCAATAACAACATCAACAAATCCTATAGCAGCATAATTTACTCTTTTTTCCCCAGATAATTTATAAAAATACATCATTTACTGATTTTGTATATAGCCATATTTTTCCCCTCCCCACTTATATGAGTCTTAGTCATAAGTAAAACAATTTCCACGAACAGGTGGAAGTTCCACAAGCATTGTTTTTTAGTTGAGCTTATTTTAATATTTCCCAGTCTGACATCTATAGATGGTGAAATTGAGGACTTTCAGGATAATTACATAACAGAATTGTAGGCCACACTATTGGAATCTGTTTCTATTAATGTAATAAATACTTAATTATATTCTATAAAATACTTTATATGTTTATATATTATAAGAATTTATATATATATATATATTATCATAGTAATCATTCTGGTACATGTCATTCACTTATCATGAAGCAAACATCTTTTTGAGCTTGCTCTGTGCCAGGAACTGTGCTAGAAGCTCTGCAGTGTACACTCTATGCTTTCAAGGAGCTTACAATCAAGTGGAGGAAAAAAGAAGTGAAGAAAAGTTTATGTGCCATTATAGAGACAAGCACCATGGTGCTGTGGAAACACATGGAAGGGGTACTTGCTGTAGTAGGAAGTGATGCCTCAATAGATGTGATTTTGGGCTGAGTCAGTGTAAAAGAGGTCTGTCTAAGGGACCAATGTGATTTGATTACTAGTTTCTGGCTCAATTCTGGTATCATTCACAGGTAGGGAATACAAGAGGGTGAACAGGTTTAGGTCGGGAGTGAAAGTGACTTGAGTTCATTTCTGAATATTTTGTATTTTAATTACCTGTGGGATATGTAGGTGGAGAAAACTAGTGAAACATGGTAGGAATTCTGGTGAGAGATATTATATCAGTCACACATGAAGAGGTAGCAAAAGTCGTAAGAGTCACTTAAAATTAATAGAAAATAGTGCTGGTTTGCCTTCATTTCCCCCCTTCTTCTTCCACTTGATTTCACTCTTCACATTTAACATTGTTTTCTTTACTTGTATTTTCAATCATACCTGGCCTTGTTCTTCAAAAGATATGAAGCAGCCTACCTAAGAGCCTTAAAGTAGAAACACGGAATGATAAAATTAAACTGTGAGAAACTAGATAGTAAGAAGTATCAGAGCTTGCCTAGTTCTCAAAAGAAAAAAAAACTACATAGGGACATGGGCATTAAAAAAATTATCTCATGGCAGTTTGTACAGTTAATTCAAAATAGACTTTCTTGGACTATTTCTCTTCAAGAGTCTGAAGGTCTGAGGGTAAGCCAAGAGTTACACTAAATTATGTAAAATTAGTCTGGAGCGGTCAAATCATGTGGCCCAGGTATCCAGCCTGCTGATGTTCTGTCTTGATCAGAGGCTTGCATGATATTCGAAGAAGAATTTATAACATAATGTCTATCAACTTGGTTCTTTTTAATAGAAGATAATATTGAACAGGGCAAGGGTGATATCTTCTCGAAATGGCCTAGAGTACGGATATTCTTTGGTACTATCACTAGCAGATCTATGTCTTACAAAGAGCAGTAATAAAATATTATATGGACTAATCTATAGACTCTGCTTTTGTAGATTTTAGAATTGTAAGTCAGCAGAATTTTTCTCTATATACATGATTTTAATTTTAAGTAGATAGGAATAATTTGCTTTACTCTAGATTTGTGATAACTGTTTTCAAATGAACTGAGGGGAATTATTTTATCCTTTAAAAGAAAACTTTGTAAGATTTTGAGCCAGAAAGTCTTTACTGGGTTATGGGGTGGATTTGAGAAGATTTAGTACCATGGGGGTGAGCTCTTTTTCATTCAATGAATTGGTAAGAAATTATAGGTGCCAACCACTGGGTTTTGACTGAAGATAGTACTCCTTGCTATTGTATTTTTGCTTGCTACTCATTCTGAAAATAGTCATTTCCAAGTTCCAAGGGAGCATCTTAAAACCAAAACCATCATCTTGGCAAGTACTGAGACAACCTCTGAAGTTATACTAATAGCCAGATATTGAAGCCATACTTTGAACAATGAAGAAAAAAAAGATGAAATTTTGCCCTTTGTAGCTTAGTCAATGAAAGTTACAAGCATATGTTGGAATGATTTTAACACTGCATATTATAGTGTCCACAGTGTTGGGATGAAACAAAAAACACAAACATTCAAATAGGAGGGCTGCTATTTGGCTAGTGCATACTGGTACAGCCCTTCTGACTATTTACAGCTGATGTCCATTTGGATTGGTCAGAGTATCTGTTGTGATTTAACAAACTCTAGAGTTTAACAAACACCTGTGTGTTTATGTACAAGTGAAAGGTATTCAAGTGGAAGGCAGGAAGGGTGTTGGTAAGAGTTAATACAGAGTGTCTATCTGTAGACCCCTCTTGCCACAAAAGACATTTACATTTTATATTTCTTTGTCTAAATGTCTAGTCCTTACACCATAACTGCTGACCCAACTTAAATGTCCCTCTCTATGAAACCTTTATTGAGCTCCTCCACACGATGTTTATGTCTTCTTCCAAAGATATAAAGTATATTATCTATACTTCTTGTACACCAGTAATCATTGTCTCGCTTGTAATAATCATCACTACTTTCTACTAAGAGACTATGAGTATACATTCGTTCATTTGATTCTCACAAAAGTTCAATATGGCTTTGGTATAATTAGCTCCCTTTTTTCAAACTGGAAGCTGAAGCAAGGAGAGGTTAAGAAACATTTCCAAGGTCCAAATTCTCTATAAGTGCAATTTGAAATCATTTTAAATGATGTTTCAGTATAATTGAAATAATAACAATACAAACACTTTACGTTACATACTTTTTGCGCTAAAGAGTCCTTTGAAAATATTGACCTAGTGATATAAGCTTCAATTGGAATATTTTAAGAAAAAGTATTCCCGGGTTTCAAACAAGTTTCTCAGAGAAGTCACATAGCATGATGTTTAAAGAGATTCAGAAGTCACCCACATCTGAGTTTATCTACTTTTTTAGCCACTCAGTAGACAGGAGACCTGGTCATGTCATGAAACCTCTTTAGCCTTCATTTCTGAATTTGTACCATAGGCTTAACAATAGAACTTACTTCCAGTAGTGAAGTTTTTCACAACTGACACCCTCAGGCTTAACACTCAATGTGATACATCTTAGCGCTCGGAAGGTGTTAGCCATCATCTCCTTACCATTTATACACTTGGAGATTACCTTCCATTTGTAACATGGTTACTACACATGTCGTTACTGAAGGAAACCTGTTTTATAGCTTTTGTAAAGTTACAAATGGTAGTCCCTCACCCCTTTTCCTTTTATACTCCAGCCAAGGCTGGAAGACTGCCTCATCAGCAAGGGAAAGACGAGAGGGAGAAACCCAATGCAGGTGAAGGACAGGAAATCGCTTTCATATCTTATTTTACTTGAACATTTTGAGAATTCTTGGTTCAAATTAACTGATACTCAGAATTCTGTTCTAGACCAATCGGTCCTCTAAATCTGTTGATTTATGCTGTTCACTATTTTGTATAATTCATTGCCAGCTCATTTTGTTTGCATTTAGATAACCAAAAATATGTTTCTATTAGCATTGAAATGCAGGTAAATACTACTTATACTTTCAGGTTTCATTAATTCAGCTACATATTATGTGACTACCTCATGGAAGGCATCATGCTAAGTGCTAAGGTTGTAGTGGTGAACAAGACAGAAGTAGCACCAGCCTTTATTAAACTTAGATTCTAAAGAGAGAGGAAGATGTCAATCAAATAATCACACAACAAAAGAAAGACTACACATTTTGAAACATGCCATGATGAAAGTAAACTGCGTGCTATGAAAGAGCATATATGGGAAGCAAGGATTATGATAGATAAGTGGTTAGGAAAGGCCTTTCTGAGGAAATGACATTTGAACCAAGACCAAAATCTGAGAGGGTGGAGGGAAGGCATTCCAGGCTGAGGAAGTAGCATGGCCAAAGGCACCAAACAAGGAAGTCTTCTGAAAACTGAAGTTATTTGAGTGGGACTGGTATATAACGAACAAAAAAAAGAAGCCACGGTAAGAAGTACTGATTTTATTCTAAGTTCCATGAGAGAGTATTTAAGAGATTTAAGCAGAGAAGTAACATGATCCCATTTATGTCTTAAAAATTCCCTTTGGCTATAGTGTGACTAACAATTAGATGAAGTCAAGCCAAACTGGGAGAGCACAAAGGAATATTGCTTGGTCCAGGCAGGAGATGATTGTGATCCAGACTAGAGTGGGTGAGAACGGAACTGGGGAATATACAGAGAACCAGGTTGTGGATGAGCTAGGCAAAAATCCAAAAGTTTGTATTTCATCTTCTTTCTATGTTGTTAGTATTTATTATACTGCCATCTGTATATGGTTACTATTTCCCACCATCTGAGTAAAGCATTGCTGTATGATTTTGACATGAAAGCGGAAATCCTGTTATCAAATTAAAGAAGTTAAATTTCTTCATTCAGAAGATGAGATTATTCATTGTAGTTGATCATTCCTCTTGTTAAAATATTTCTACATTTCATTTATTCATCCACTCATTCATTCAAAAAATATTTGAGTGACTTGTAAGAGTCAAAACTGTTGCGTCATTTATTAAAGTTGTATTTTTTATTGTTTCCCATGTAAACAACAAAAAAATGATCCTCTAGGAAAATGGTACCATCGATTTTTACCTTGGGGGTTTTCTCAGCCTCGTGGTTTTATTTATTTCCTTAAATTCTTTCTTTCTAATGGATAATAATGTTTATCAAGATACTTTTCTTCAGAATTTGAGCTGGAGTTCAGAAAATATTAAGTAGCGGTTTCACCCCACATTCTGTTAATTCTTGTATTTTTCAATAGAAAAAAGAAAAAACTTCTGTCATGATACAGAACAATGCGTATGCGGTGGCTGTTGCCAACTATGCCCCGAATCTTTCCAAGGACCCAGTTCTCTCCACCATCTCCAAGAGTGCAACCACGCCAGAACCCAACAAGAAGCCAGAAAACAAGCCAGCGGAAGCCAAGAAAACCTTCAACAGTGTTAGCAAAATTGACAGAATGTCTAGAATAGTTTTCCCAGTTTTGTTTGGTACATTTAACTTAGTTTACTGGGCTACGTATTTAAACAGAGAACCTGTATTAGGGGTCAGTCCTTGAATCTAGACACAGGTTATCTTTTGGATGTATAGCAACGTTAAACTTGATTTGTTTTGCTATGTACAGTCTGACTAATAACTGCTAATTTGTGAACCAACATGTACAGTATGTATATAGCGATGTAGCTTACCAGTAGACCTCTAATGGAGACAGGCATTTGCTAACTCTTGGAACTACAAGCAAGAAAGCACCCCATGCCCAAAGAACCATTGCCTTTTTTGAAGATTTACCCTAGGAACTGGTTTAAAGTGGAATTCAGATGACCTGATTTATTTCCTATACCACACTTTATGGAGCCTTTTGATTTAGGTCTTACATAAGATTATTTTCTACTGTGGCCTAACTGTAATTGTAAAATAACATTGTCATTCCAACATGAATTCTCCTAAGTAACAGAACCTAGTATCTGGACCATCAGTTCCCTTCCTGAGTGCTCAGAACCCTTGCTAGTGTAATTGGAAGCTTAGCACACCTCAGAAGAAAAACTAGAGATTTGAAATCAGCTTTTAATTACTCTGTATAGTATCTATAGCCATGTACATATTACAGCATGACTAGCTCAAATAATTCGAGTCACCCCTGACAGGATGTTAATTATGCCTAGAATTTAATAACTATCAGAATGTTGTGGCCATTACATTTTTAGCATCAATTTATTTGAACGTAATAATTGAAATCCTACCAATTATTTTAATCATTGAAAACTACCTTAAATTAAAAAAAAAAAAGACAATAATGGATCTTATTCTTTCCAGGTATGTGTTGTATTGAAATTGCTCAGCTAAATTTTCTTGGTGCTGGAGCCTGGAAAAGTATCCAGTTTGGCTGCTGTGGAGCAACATTCATATTGGACTAGAAAATTGTGCCAAAAACTCCCACTGATGAGAATTCATAGGTGTCACAGAATATGGATAAGCACTTATATGATTCTCTTCTTTCCTGTTTACTGCAAATTCTGCCTTAAGGCTTCTTTTCATCAGGACTCAGAAGCCACTAATTACAAAGGAAAGGGCCATTAATTGGCACATTTTTCTGTCTGGAAAGCAGCTCTCTCAGATAAGAATTAATGTAAATCTGCTTTTGTAAATTGCAACTTTAAATTTCGCTGACTCAAATTTACAACAGCTTTGTATACTAGAAGAGGTTTTGGTAAGAGTTGAACATTTTTAAACTGAAGCTTTGAAGCATCACCAATGGATTGTGGATTAGTTCACATGCACAAACGTAAACACACACACACATATAATTAGCTAAATTAGAACACACACATACCAACATGTAGCTAAATTGGAAACCACAATTTTCAATTTTATATAATTACTAATGGGAAAAATTAATTTTCTTTTAATCTTTAAAAAATACTCTTTATGTTTCGGTTTATGCCCCTGAAATATGTTAATAAAAGTTAACAATTGTGTCTTATGCCTAGATTCAGCGTTTTTGGCAAACTTAAAATTCTTTTGACTCACATATACATTAGCAGTTATTAGTTGACTTTTACTAATAGATACACCTTTATGATGGTGTTTTTGTAGAAATATAAGTAGTCAAATAGTGGCATTTCTTGCAGTTTTGTACAGTATTTCAGTATAGTGCATAAATAGGTATGTTCATAAAATCAATAAAAAGAGTATCTTATGGAAATAAGCAAAATCACAACAAAAATTGCTATTTCTTTGCCTCGTTTAAATTTTATTTTTTCATTTTCTTTGTTTTAGTGTGACTCTATTATGTGCTCTGCATGATTGTATTAATTCCAAGGTCACAAATGCATCTTATTAACAGAATTTGCTGTGAAGACAGCCTTGACATTAAAAATTTCCTCCCACAAGGTAATCCATCATCCTTAATAAAATAAAATTGTTACGTAAGCCAGTAAATGTATTTCTTTAATTCCCTTCCAAGAACACCTTCTTTGTCATCTACATAGTTTTAAAATGTGCACTTTATTCAGACATTGAAGTGGAAGATATCCTATTTTCTTACATATTTAAATATAGCATAGCTCTTCTGTGTAGTTCAGGAAAGTGTGCAAGTCTAAGAAGGTACACGATGCCTGATGGTGAGCAATACAAATGCTTTGTGTGGTGTATGTTATCAGACACTTTGAAATTTTGTTCTTATAAGTTCTGCATTGCCCTCTTAATGTCTGACTATAAACTATAAATTTATAAATATGTAGATATGTAAAAATAGCTGTAAATAACAGTTTCTGTAAGACAACAGGAAAGACTCACCTATGCCTTTGGCAAGGGCCGCACTTACATTGATGGCACCAGTTTTATTAAAAGTTATGGTAGATTGACCAGAAAAGTGATTATTTTTGTTACTCTTATTTATATTTTCACTTGTTAAAATCTTATGTGAGCCTAATGACATCCTGACAGTTCGTATTTTCTGATAATGTGGACGAAGATTTTCTGTTATTTCTCTCACTCTGGTGTATGTTTTAGACACTTCTTAATCTTTTACTTTAGATAAATCAGAGGGACTTTTGGTCTTGCTGGAGAGGAGGTATGCTGCATGGAAAAGGATTTTAAATTATAAAACCATAGTCTTTATAATTATTCTTTCTTCCATAAACCATTTAAAAAACGAAAAATAAAAGTGACACGGATTTATTAATAAAATTAATTTTTCAGGAAACACATTTTCAGTAGACTAACAGTGGTCTCTTTTGCCCATAATGTTATGGCAAGTTTATGCAGTTGTACATGGACATAGTTATGGTATGTACAGAATGTAGATAAATACATGTACATATATAAAGATATAATCTCATTGTTGTATAGCTACTGCTCCGATTCAGCTAATATTTGTTCAACAAATATTTTTTACCTCCTACTATATGCCATCCCATGGGGATGGTGTTAATACCATTCATATCACACCCACAGAATTTAGTTGAAAATTAAAGTGCATCTCATTCTGATAAAGACTTAAAATCAAAGACTGAATGGAACATGTAAATTAGTTTAGCACTAAGAGTTGTTTAATGAGCTATGAGATCACTGGTGTGCTAGGATAGTGGCGGTTTTGCTCTTTTGTCGTATCCATGTTCCCGTTGGTTTGAATATAAAAATGGAACTAATATAACCATTTCATAAATTTCTTTAAACTTCAGTGATTTTTTAAGTGCCAGTCTTAATGTTTAGCAATCTTTTCAGGGATCTCTCTATTTCGAATTTATCTCAGGTTTGGATAAGTGATCCCCTTGAACCACATTTCCAATTTTATTTCTTAAATAGTTCATAGTTTATTTAAAAAGGACACAGATATTTTTCTTTGAGATATATATATATATATTATATATATACACACATATATATAGCAAATGTTTATGACGTGGCTCTTTTTACTTTCATGATTGAGGGAACTGAGCTCTGCCATGATATCATAGCTTCAGAGGGACATCAAAGCTCTATGCATTCTATGGATCCTGTACTTTGGCATGGCCTCTCCTCATTCCAATGAGAGGAAAAGGGAATAGCTCAAGTCAACTTCTGCAAAGTCATGATTCTTCAGCATCTATTAAGAATTTTTTTTCAATTGTTCCGTACTTGATGCTCTCAGACAATGTCTGCAACACGTTAAAGTGTTTATTACTTCATTTGAAATCGAGACCCTATCGATAGGTTTATTACACAGGTTATTCCTGTTATTAGTCTTCTGGAATTCCTATATCTATCTTCATAGTTTTGAAACAATTACCAGATTTTTTTTTTCATATAAAAAACATTCAGAATTTCAAGGGAATCATGAGCTGGCAAGCTTCCCTGTAGTGCATTTATTTCCTTTTAATGGAGGTCTCATGAGCACCTCAGGCTTTCTTTTTATTAATAGCAAAGAACACAGATGTGTAAAATGTAAACTGGGGAGGGCTGTGGTTGTTTTTAAGATCTGCATGCTTGAGAACTAGAGACACTATATCAAAATCACTCACAACAGTGTGGACAAAACAAATTATGATATTTTTCTCTATTGAATTCATGCTTTAAAAAAAGAAATTCAGTATTTAATAAAATTCTTTAATATCCATAACCTTGTGTTATCAACATTTATATAAAGTATACTAATATTTTCCATTAGTATTTAAGCGCTTATATTTTCATCAAATTCAAAGACTAATTCAGGACCTGAAAAACAGAGAAAGAAGTATCAAAGAGAAAAACTCACTTGAAAAATGAAGCAGTTGCTAATTAAATCTAGTGATGCATTTTTCCTCTTTAACTCCTAAGAGGAGAAATTATACATATGTAAGAATATACAGAAATATTTAACAGTCATGATTCTATCAAAGTAAGCATCATGATTAAAATACTAAAATAGATGAAGTTCATGTAAAAGGCATTTGGGAAAGGTAATAACATAATATTCAAAATATATTTCTTATTAGAATTTTGTATCATGTTTTTCTCGAAAATTCTTAATTATCCTACGATTTAGACCACTGGTTTCAACCTTACTTGGTTGAAATATTCTACTTTTCTTCATTTGTATAAAGAAACCTTTCTTATATACGTAGTTGTATCCCCCACTTCAGACCACTTTCTGTGCGTTGTAGTTAATATATAACATCAGTTAATATTTCCCGTAAGCAAGAACAACTAACAGATTTATGTTTCAGTTTATAATAATATTCCCAAAGAACCTTTAGTAAGGTGTTAGCTCTGATTAGAAGTGTGTATGTGTGCGTGCATTTCCAAGGTATGAAAGAACATTTTGAGAAATTCAGACAAATTTATGAAATCTAAACAATTTATTTTATTAATGGGTCCAATCTCAAATGTAGCTCTTATTAAACTAGCAGTTAACTTAGTCAATAGACTAGTTTTTTCGATAGATCTGTAACAAACATGTTAATTGGAATTTAGTCTTCAGCCATACATATGGTTAGAAATAGCCTTCCTATAAATGTGTAAATGTTTTTCCGATGGGTTTCTAACTGTTTCTTTTGAGCCATTAAGTTCAAAATCATATCGCAATTCTGCTTATAAAGTAGCATGGAAAAATCTTTGAATTCCAAGTTTCTCAATGGAGGTTAGTGAAAGCCTGCATTAAATTAAATATCTGGTTAATTATTTGCAAATACCGAGTCATTGATATTAACTATTGGTTAGTTGCATACCTTTTTAAATTGAAAGGGTTCTGAGGATACTTTCATGGAGGACTCATGGCATGCTAGTCAATGTTCTAAGCCCTTTACATATATTACCTCATTCAGTCCTCACAACTACCGTAAATCACTGTGTGATTCTAGAGTTCTGGAAGTTTAGAATTTCTATATAGTACACCAACACACTAGTCTAACACATATTTTAGACAAAGTAAAGAAAAAAAAAAGCTGTATTTTTTTCCTTTAATTCAAATTTATATTCACATGGTTTTGGGAGCATCAATCCATTAGGAAGGCCACTATATACTTTCCTACAGGACAGAAACCAAGCAAACAAATACTAAACACTAAACTGTACAGCAATCAAGAATCCATTTTTGTGAAACTAGCTATTCACCAACACTGACTACAATTTAGCTTCTGGGAATACATTGCGTTTTTCTTTCTTGTTCTATCGGTAATGATAATGTATAAAAAACACTTAAAGTTGATTAAGCACACAAAATAATAAGCACTTTTCTTTGTTTTCTTCTTTTTTTAAAATTTTATTTTACCAAGTTGTGTTAGGGGTTGGAGAGGTTTTGTTTTTATTTGCAATATTGTTGGTTTCATGACATTTAAACCTATTGGGCTTCAAAGATTATGTATTGATTTCATCAGTTTGTTGCAAATTACTGTTTATAGTAAGAAGTCTAAACTGACTCCAAATAAATGTCAGTGTTGGAATTGTAAAGGTTGAATTAGCTTAGTTGGTATGAAAATTTCAGTTTTTCTTTCTTTGTTTTAGAACACTTACTTTGCCATAACATGCTGCCGCATGCAAGCCAATATTATTGGATAAATTTGAGTAAATCCTACAAAGTTTATTTGTAAAAAGAAATAGTATTAGGAAAGAAAAACAAAGGAGTTAGACAGAGAATTACTTTAGGGATAATGGCTTATAGATTTGTTCCCAATTGTTTATTTTTAAAATATTCAACATAGTTGTTGAAAGTTGTTGAACCTCTTAGCTGTGTTTTAAACCCAGTGTAATGTGTGAAGAAATTTAATGTATAATTCGAAAGGCCTAAGTAAAACTGACCTTTGAGCCACAATTTTCATGAATTAAACCCTATCATCCATGGATAAGTCCTTGATTGCTTTTTGGTCTTGGGTTCCTGCTCCATAATTGATTTAAAGTTTGTTGGTATCCAGTTTTTCTCAAGATTCTTCTGAGCAAATACAAATTCATGTTTTGGTGTGCTCCAAATTAAGAATGTGACCTTACATGAAATATTCCCTTTAGAGGCAACTTGCATAGAAACTTAAGAAAGTTTCATATTTGTTGCTAAATTAGAAAAGAAAAAAGAAGAATTAGATGTTTTTCCTGTGCTACACATTAATGATAAAATTACATGCAGAGAGAATGCATGATAAAGCTCCAATACTAAACTTTGAATATTCACATTAGTTAAAATTTGAAATTTTCTGGGTGACAGTATACTTGTACGGTAGAATTCTGTTTTGATAAAATCATTTGGGAGCTAATAAAATTGTAATTTGTGACCTTGTTGTAATTGGGAAAAGTCACTATTTTTTATGTATGTAAGATAATTTGACCTTTATTGAATGTGTCATTATGCTTGCTGTTTAAAAAATTCCTAATTAATCACATGCAAATTAATGCTAAACATTATCTTTTGTACTTATTAAAATTAATTTAAATATATTTGATCTGAAAATTGTGTTTTTTATACTCTAATCATTCATTACATGTTTGCTTACAAGAGTTGAATTCATTGTAAATGTGACTTTTTTATATTGGGAGATAGCACTGATATTTTGTGATAGAGATTTTAAATGCTATTAGTTTATTAAACTTATTTTTAAAATAAGAAGTTATAGAGTGACAGGAAAAGTATAAACTTACCCTGAAATAATAAGGAGAGATCATGAATTGCTAATGTTGATCTCTTTAACACTTTAAGAAAGTGGTGCTATGGAAATATAAGTTCACCCAGAAAATTGCCTACCTTCTATCATAAAAAGTGTCTCATTTACAGGAAACTGTTAAATAAAAGAAATAAGATGCTCTTTTCTTTTGATAGATTCAAATTCATATTCTATTTGTAAACCAGAAATCTTTCAGTTTTCTTGTTGCATCTATTCTCTTAATTTAATGCAACATTATTTAATAGAGCTCCTCTTTTGATTATTGCTATTCTTGCTAATATGATTGAAATTAATTACTTTTAAATATCCAAAAGGTATAACAAGGGAACAATTTTTATCAACATGGTAAGTTCTTTTACAATATTTCTCAACCTTGGCCACACTTTAAAACTGCTTGAGGAGTTTTTTAAAACATTGGTCCTACCCTACACCAAGTAAATCAGAATCTCAAGTGAGGAGGAATTATGAGAAATTTTTAAAACTCTCCAAGTAATTCTACTCTACAGCTATGTGTATACTTGTTTTCATTTTATAAATCTATTCATAGACTCTCGAATCTCTGTTTCTTTTTTGGAGACTTCTCCCTGCTTGTCAATAGCTTTTAGTTTAGTCTATATTAGTAAATACAAAAAAAGATAAAATTAAATGAATGTTACAAGTTAGTTTTTCACAGAATATAGTGAATTTAAATGACAGTATCAAACCTTATGTAACACAGTATTTATTCTTGATATTTTACTATCTAATCAATTAATTAAATTACTCTTACTCTTAATTTGTACCCTATAGAGCTGCAGTTAATTATGAACAATGTAAGTATATATATATATAAAAGGATGTATTATAATTGTCGTTTTCAGGTTATGCATTTTAACCAAATATTTAAGAAATTATTTATACTAGCATGTTTATGATACTATTTGCCTGGGGGTAAGTAAGCTCAATTTAAATAATGTGGTGAGTATTTACAGCTCCAAATTCACACCTCAGTAAAATTATAGGCAGCAAATGCTACATTCTTCAACAGTGTTCAACCAGTTTCCCCAATATCAGTTTATAGTCCAGGCTTGTCAAATTCATGTAAATGAAAGCATGCTGTAAATGGAAGCATTTATGTCATCTTTGTTCTGAAGGATTCAGAAAAGGAGGAACCGAAGTTTCAAAGGGCTTTCTACAGAGTTTTGCCTCATCTTTAAAATATAAGGCCAAGGAAACTGCTGAGAAAGCAATAAGACTCAAATAATAGTAGTCTGCGAAGATTGTTGCACTGCCAAATGGAAAAGCTTTTATATTCTCAGGCCTGTGGTCAATATGAACTCTTGGAGGTTTTCAGACTCAGATAAATTAGAAATGTGGAAAACCAGGTGCAAGTAGTAAAAAGATTGTCAATTGCTTCTAGAGGAAATGTTGAATTATATCTAGTGTTCTCGGTTTAAGAAATCAGGGAATTGACTATTATTTTAAATTTTAATTTTTCTCCATCAGTAATTGCAGTGAACATTTTGGAGCTTAATTATTTGGGGTTCATTTATCTGGAAAATTCACTTCTGTGGAGCACTTCGTTCCATTAATGGCTTGAAATTTTATAACATTTCTTCCATGAATCAAGAAAAATAATCTTATGGAGAATTTCTAAATCATGTCTTAAGATGTAGAGTAATAAAAAGATGGAAACTAGTAATGGAAGCATATCAGTTTTAAATTGCTTTTGCACTTACTCTTTGAAAGCTAGCTTTACGTCCAAACTAAAATATACAGGAAATGCCAGATGAATGGAAAAATGAAAGAGTTTATCAATATTTAAAAGTTATCATGCCTGCCCCTTAAACCAGCTTACAGGAAGACTTCACAATGGATGTATACAGAGGTCACCCTAAGGCATATCTCAAAGTCCAATCCATTCCAGACAACTGAATCTGTACCTGAGGAGAAAATAATGATAATTCTCGAATTTTTTTTTACTTTACTTCATACTGATCATTGCATTCCTTGTTTTGATAATCTAGTATCCTATCCACTAATGATACTGCGCTTTTTAGCTCCTCTAGGTAACTTTAAGTAGTGTTGAAGGGAGAGTATTTTGCTGAAATTTACATCTTGCTTATTGAAAGTCAGTATCTTAGCCATGACTCCTTTGAGTTAGAGAAAGAGCACTTCCAACTAGTGTGAGGCCAAAAAGAACTCAGGAAAAGGATATAAGATGTCCCATACGAAGCATTAAAGTCCCTGAACTCAGGGACGGTAGAACTGGGTTATGGACTTTACTGATGTGTTGGAATACCAAGACTCCTTGCCTATGTAGCTTGGTTCAAACGCTCAAGTAAAGTAATCCCATAGAAGCAGTTGGTCCAATTAGCTGTATTATCTGGAGTAAAAAAGATAAGCACAGCTGCTGAGCCACCCCTCTGCAGGGAGAAAGGCAGTGCCTAGTAAACAGGGGCAAAGGTTCAGCATATACTTCGAAACATTGGCTATTATATTCAAATAAGACTTTTTACTTTGAAAAATTCCAAAGATGAAAATAAAATTAAAAAATATGTAAAAGAGGAAAATAAAAAGACTGTGCTCTCAATTCTCATATAAATCATTGCATTTTCCAATGGGTACAAATCAACTACTTATGGATGACATAATTTATAATTGAACCGTTCATGTTTATATGTCTGCATAATGTATATAAAATAAAAATACAACTAATGAACATGTGGAAGAGTACAGAACACATGTATTTCATAGATTTTGTTATATGCATCAAAGTTACTCATGCTGAGTTTACATTGGGATGACAGGCCATCTCCATTACTACACTCATAATTGCCCCATCAGCACAGTCCCTCAATAAGTATGGAGGGGATTGATGGCTCAGGTAAGTGGGTCATGATTGATATGTAGGGCCCTCCCAAAGGACAAATTTTTTTTATAACCAGAGGAATTTATTAGAAACCATATTCTGATAGAAAAAAGTGCCTAAAAAGAAATATTCTGTAGGTGTCCTTTTTCTTTCTTTTTTTTTAATTTTGGTAAAACATACATAAATTTACAAGCTTAATTGTTTTTAAGTGCACAGTTCAGTGGTATTAAGTAAATTTATATTGTTGTGCAACCATCACCACCTTCCATCTCCAGAACTCTTTTCCTTTGCAAAATTGAAGCTCTATATGCATTAAACAATAGCTCCCAATTCCCCTCTCCCCCCAGCCCCTGCCAACCACCATTTTACTCTTTTTTTTGTGTCGTCTTTTCCCTATGCCCCTGCCTCTGGTAACCACCTTATTCTCTGTTACTATGAGTTCAGATGTTTATTTTATTTTATTTTATTTTTTTGGTTCCACATATAAGAGGACAAGATTTTCATGTCCTTTTTGCCCTAAAGGATTCAGAAAGAGAAGAACTGAGATTTTGAAGGACTTTCTGTGGAGTTAGAAGTTTTGCCTTCTTTGTTTCTCATCTCAAAGCATCCACGACTGGAAAGAGACTAAAACTTAATGTTAAACAGAAATTATTCTGGAAAGGAGTATTCCAGGACAATTACAAACAATTGACAGATTCAAACCACAGGAACAAGGGCAAAACAAGAGGATTAAGAGATGAGCAGAACTGAAATGGAATTGGAACACGTGTTGTAGATGAAGGAAGTAAGAGTCCATATTGATGAACAAAAATGGAAGTAGAATCTCTTCCTTGTCTTCATTAGTGATTATGCTCATAATACAAGCTGGGTCACACTAATATTAGGTAAAATAAGTAAAAGGAAATAAAGTTATGAGAAGTGAATGCAATTTTATTTTAGGAAGTAGCAGAAGACAGTGACTAAATAATTAGTCTTGGAATTTGAGTAAAGAGAAATAATCAAGATTTGAGGACTTGGTCTTCCCTGTTTCCAAAAACTAGAATTTGCCATTTACCCTTAATATTAATTTATATAGCTAAATGTGCATTTGGTATATTGCTACTTCTTTATTAAAAGGTTATAACTAGAGTACTTTTTATACCATATGTGAAATTTTGATACAGGAATAGTGATCACATCTAACATAGTTAACATAAGCTTAATTTATTTAAAGGTAGTACAGTACTAATTTATGAAGGCATGATTTTATAATTTCATTTTCTGCTCAGAAGGATGAAGTTCTGTTTATACAGGATGTCACTATTAATGACTCGTTATTGAGCATAACTTATAATTTCTGTAACATTGAACCTCAGTTGTTAGTACTTTAAGTTTGATGGAGCTAGAGCTAATATTTTAATAATAATAGAACTCAAACACTAGATAATAATTTATTATTTATTATTTGATTTGAGCATACATAGACAAACTTTTATAATTCTTTGTAAACTTATATTGGGCAAAATTAAACTCCACGTCATTTCGTGTTTCTCTGACTTTCTCAGCTATCCCAGAGGTTGGCATTGCATTGGAGGAGAGAAGTCTTATTGTGTTCCCAGCTTGTTAATATCATGAAGCCAGTACTGTGTCCACACCCCTTCCACTGACCTGGACTCTGCATCAAGCTCCAAATCATGTTTGTGGAAAACTTGTGCCTGATTTCATGCCCCTGTGCTGATCATTGTGCCCTATTTTGCCCACACTCAATATTTGTTTTCCCCGTTAGTCTATAATATTCTTAATGGCAGGAATTATATCCATCTTTTTCAAAGTCTTTGGTTGAAATTCAGTGAGATTCTTTGAATCTGTGGATTGTTTCTTTTATCAGTTCTGGAAAATTATCAGTAATTATCTCTTTAAATAACATTCTTTCTCTTCTATTCTCA